GGGGGGTCGGGGGGAGCAGGATAAATGTAGATGACTTTGGCTATTTCAGTGTCGGGAGGCAAACGCCAGGGTGGGACAGGGGAAGGAGGACAACGGGCCGGGCGAACGGCCATGACAAGGAAACATGACCCTCCGAGCGGGGAGGAGGGAAGATCATACAGGATGGCCGCGTGCGCGATGCGACCCTGCTTACATCTCACCGCATTGCGTGACCACCACATCATGGATGGGCTGATGGTTCTTCGGGTTGACGGCCAGCTGCTCAATCATGCGCAGGGTGTAGAACCCCTCATCGTCCAGAAGCTTGCCAAACACAACGTGCTTCTGGTTGAGGAAGTCGGCCGGTGCGCAGGTGATAAAGAACTGGCAGCCATTGGTGTTGGGTCCGCTGTTGGCCTTTGTGTGTATGGGGGGGGGGGGGGGGAGATTGACCCAGGAAAGGGGCAAAGTCGATCGTATTCCCAGTCAGCAGGTGGGTGATGGCAGATGCAACAAGCAGGATCGGATTGAGGGGGGAACGCAGTGTCTGGAAGAAGAAGAGAGAAGAGGCCAGGGGGCAGGGGGCAGGAGCAAGCACACACCATCGACAGCAATCCCGGCACATCATGCGTCAGGGTGAAATTCTCGTCGTCGAAGTAGCTGGTCTTGTTGTAGATGTTCATGGCGCCGGTGCCGTCGCCATTGACGAAGTCCCCGCCCTGCACCATGAATCCCTTGATGATGCGGTGGAACTTGACACCCTTGTAGCCGATCGGCTTGCCACCTTGCCTGGGAGTAGTCAGGTTAGCGAGAGGCAGACAGAGGGAGAGAGAGGGAGGGAGGGAGAGGAGGGAGGCTCGGTCTCCACGGGACCGGGCAAGGCAGGGTGGAGCAGGGTGGGGCAGAGCAGAATGAAAAGGGGCTCGCAGGTACCTAAATTCGCCAGTGCACAATTGCCTGCCAAGTGATGAGTAACCCGATGTGAGGAACAAACAGGACACCAAGGTAAGAGGATGGCCGTGTGCGCGTGTGGGCGTGTGTGTGTGTGTGTGTGTGTGTGTGTTTGTTTGTGTGTTTGTGTGTGTGTGTGTGTTTGTGTGTTTGTGTGTGTGTGTGGAGGGCGGGGGGATGGCCGGGGGGAAAGCCACCAATCTACTCGCACGTACCGGAAGTTCTCCGCGGTCTTCGGGACCACGTCGGCAAAAAGCTCCATCTTCATGCGACCAATGTGCTGGCCACCGATGGAGATATCCATGAAGACAATTGGGTTCGGCTCCTGCGGGGCCTCCTTGAGCCCGGGAGCGGCGGTAGTGGCTGACATTGCAAGCGAGAGCGGAGGCGGGCAGGGAAGTGCGAGGAAATGGCCCAAAGGGAGGAGGGGAAAAGGAGGAGGGGAGGGAGGCGGGAGGGGGCGTGGCCAACGGGCCTGGCGGCCAGCCGGGCCATGCCAGCTCTTTGAAGAAGACCGGCGCGGAGGAGAGCCCTCGCACCACGATAACGCCGACCTCCAATCGCCCCCTCCAGCCTTTCCCCCCCCCCCCCCCCCCCCCCGGAAAAATCGGCTACCGACGCAAGCCGATCGCCCGGATGCCAACGCATGCATCACCGGGACCGACCAGTCTAGGGCGATCCCGGGCCAGATCAGGGATGGGGGGAAATAATAGATGGGTGGTCTAATTCTTTGTGTTTATTGTCATTCTTTTTCCCGCCAGGGGATGGAGGGGGGGGAGGGGGGCACTCACATTTGCCGGTGCTCCAAGTACGAGAGGACAGCCATGCGCAGAGCGGCCAGGTCCTGTCCCCGGGGCGGCAGTGCTCCGGCGGCGGGACTCCCGATCCCGGCGCTCGACACCCGGTGGAAATCCGACAAATCCATCGTCCCCAGGTCCACATGAGTGCGGCCCTTGGAGACGGTGACCTCGGCGAGCAGGCGCCCCGGGGCCTCGGCCGTGGGGGAGGCCACCTCGCGGAGGCGCTTCCGGCTGGGTGTGGCAACTGCCGGAGTCTCCACAGCCATGCTGGCATCATCGCCGGTGGTGGTGGTGGTGGTGGTGGTGGCAACGGGGTCCTCCTCGGGAACAGGGGTGCCGTCAGCCCCAGTAGCGTCGACCGCCGCGACATCGGTCCCCTCGGCATCTGTGGCGTCAACAGCGGGGCTTGGGTCCCCGGAACCGCCGGCCCCATCGACAAAATGCGGGACCTCGCCACCAGCCTCGGCGGCGCTGACATGGGCCTCAGCATCGGTTGCCACCGTGGCCGGAGGTGATGCAGGCCGATGGATGGCCAGCGAAATGCCCGAAGCGTCTGTCGCATCGTCCGCCGGCCGTCGTGTGATGCTCACGCTCAGGCCGGCCTGCACCCATTCGGCAAAGAGCATTAGCATGGGGACAGCGGCAGGATTGATAGGGAGAGAAAAGAGAGAGAGAGAGAGAGAGAAGCAAGGAGAAGGGAAGACGCAAGGGGCAAACACCAAATGCGACCCGGTATCACACACCTCCGAGGCGTGCTGCTCAACACTTCGAGCACATCCAGCGCCGAACATGAAGCGTTTGCGAATGGATTCGGCCGCCGGCAGACCCGCCGAGGGGTGTGACGGCAGCAAGGGCGGTGGCAGCCGAGAAGCATGACGCGGCTGACGCTGGTTAGGACGCCGGCGCATGAGCTCGGGTGCCGCCGCCCCCGCCGGGGCGGCTGCCAGCACGGGCTTGATCTCCAGCCGGCTGTCGGTGGCCAGCAGCCTGGCGGACAGCGGCAGGACGACCACCTCGGCCGGTGAGTCGGGAAAGTCCCCACCGGCAGCGGCCCGCCCCTCCAGAGCAAAGGACTGCCGGCCCAGGATGGACGCATCGCTCACCGGCAGGCGAAAGTACCCGGCGCTGACCGGGCCGCCAGGGCCCGATGCCACAGGCCCACCCGGCGAGTCATTCAGCAGGCTGACCGAAATGACGCCCAAATCGTCGCCCTGCGGAAAGCGACTCCCCTGGGCCAGGTCGATGGTCAGTGTTTGCCCCCGGCCGAGGCTGCCGACCGGGGCCCGGCTGGCAGGGGCGCTGCCCATGGTCGTGGTGGAGTCTGTCGGAGGCACATGGGTCGGTGAGGAGGGCAGGAAATCGACAAGGGAATGGCCCCAATCCGGGCCCGAGGGGGACAAGCGGCCATCAAGCAGACGCACCCATGGAACTGGGAGTGACGAAGAGCTGCGGCGCCTCCGGCACCAGATACCCCCGACGAGCGGGCGGCAGATCCGGCAGCGCACTGAGGAAGGTACGCACGGCGTCCGCCGACCGGAAGGCCCCGGACTGGCGCGACGCCAGCAGGCGCTCCACAAGCAGGGGGAAGGTCAGCCGGTCATCGGCGGCGGCCACCTCCACGCGGGTGCCTGGACGCCGGAGATGCAGGCCCGACGGGCGGTCGGACGATCCAGCCTCACCGGAAGGCAGGGCGAAGCCGGCCGACAAGGCCGGCGGCCCATGTGGGTCCAGCATGAAGAAGGGCTCCAAAAGGAGCGGAGCCTCGGCCACGAAGAGCGGATCCACCAGAAGCAGGCGGCTTTCGCCGACCCCCAGCCCGGCCCCCGGGCCAGGAGCCGCCCCCAGGGCCCCATGCCCCCCGAGCAGGGCCCGGACCAGATGCACCGCATCGCCGAAGCGCAGCGCCGGATGCCCGAGCACCACGACCGCCGGCTCCCCACGGGCCAGGGCATCCAGGGAGTTGGGGGCCAAGTCACTCAGGCGGCTTACCTGGATCAGGCGCCCCTTTTCCGCCAAATCAGCATGGTCAAAGGGCGGGGCCGGGAGTCGGGCCCGCTCTTGTAGCTCCGGACGCAGCCACTCGCTGGCCACGTCGGCCTGTGCCAGGGCCCGGCCGGCCACCGGGCTCACCACATAGATGGGGACCGCCGGCCCGGCCACGGTGTTGGTCAAATGCTGGGCCAGCTGCCCAAGTAGGTCCAGCTGCAGGCCAGACGGCAGCATCGGGATGATGACCGACCCGCGACGAGACACGGTTTCGGCTGCGCGCCCAGGCCCAATGGGCACATGGCCAAGCGCCAGAAGGCCGGCCGGAGGGCCGGGGCAGGAAACACGGTTAGTCACCGGGCCAGGGTGGCGCACGGACACCGGCCGAGATGCTCGCATGCGGGGCCATGTGCCAGCCAGGCGTACTTGTCAATCGGCAGATCTCGCGCAAGGCCCAGTCCGACGGGCCGACCCGGTCGGCGAAGGGGCCCCGCTCCAAGACCCCGGGGTTCTGGCAGCCACTGACCACCAGGGCGTCCGCCGCGGCCAGGGAGTTCAAGTCCAACGGCGTCGGGTGGCTGGCCCCGTCGGCGGCGCTGCACACCACGCCAAGCGTTCGCAGGGAGGGCAGACGCACAAGCCAGTTACATGCGCCGATGGCCAGTCCCGAGGGGGTGGGGATGGCCGTCAGACCACCCGACAGATCCTGGACAAAGGACAAAAAAAAACGTCGGTCAGATACGGCGGAAGCAGGGTCGGCTGCTGGCGTGTCGGCCGAAGCAGGTCACAGGGTGAAGTTCCCCCGGCAGACGCACCAGCTCCTGCAAGTAGGTCACGGTGACCACGCTGTCCAGGCACCGGCGGACGGCATCCGGCGAGAAGACCGGCCGCCAGGCGGACAAGCCATCTCGCCGGGCATTGTGGAAGTACTCCCGCGAGGCACCCTCGGGGAGGAGTCTGCGCAGCGGGAGGCGGGGAGGGGGGGGGGGGCGACGGAAGTCAGCATGGGCATGCTACACGAGCGGGGGCGCGGCGAGGGGCGCGAGGGGCAGGGCAGCGACAGGGCAGGGGCAGGAGCAGGGAAGGCAGCCGCGAGGCGGAGACACACTCGATCAAGCGGTCCACGGAGATGGAGAGCCCGGCACCGCCGTCATCACCGCCATGCGGGGCTCCGGCCATGCCGGCGGACATTTCCTCCATCAGCAGGCGCGCCAGTTCCAGGGCCGGCTCGGTGGTGTAGACCGCCCCGGTGAAGCCGGCGCCAGGGGCCTCGGATGCTCCAGAGCCAGGCTCCGCCTCGAAGAGGTAGGCCACGCCGAGCAGCGCCAGGGCATGGGGCACCAGGACCACATCGACGCCGACCGCGCCGCCCGGCACCCGCGGGACTGGCAGCAGCGGCGAGCCGGGGGTCGTGTCGATGAAGGCGGCCCCGGTGACCGGCGACCGGAAGCACACCGCCCCGCCATGGGGCACAAGTGTGTCTGAGCGCCCGCTGCGCGGCATGAACCGCAGCAGGCTGGTCGTATCCAGCGGGCAGCCGATCAGGATCCGGGCCTCCTTGCACCGGACAAGGAAGGTGGCTCCATGCGGGCCGTCATCGAGGCAAGTCTGGTGCGTGAGGTTCGGCGAGTGGGGTTAGAATCCGGGAAAGGGCGCAGCCATCCGAGAAGCGAGATGAGGCCCGTACGACGTCAACGCTGTCCGGCATGCTGCGTGTCAGACGGAGAGGCCGGGGGGGGGGGGGGGGAGTGGCAAGGACAAGGGCGGCCCAACAGCACAAGGTGTGCTCGGAGGCAGGAGGGAGGGGGGAACGAGGGAGGGGACACGGGCAGCGGAAAGGGTGGCAGGCAAAGAACAGAAATCAAACGGGGGGGAGAGAGACGGGAGAGTGGTGAGCAGGCCACAGCCAAGTGCGCTCCTCACCTGCCGTCCCCATGAGCTTTCTCTGCCGTACACGCGCCTGCTTGCGCACAGACACACACCCATGTTGGGCAGTCAGCTAGCAGTGGGAAAGGGGGCACGGTGTCCTCGCCTCGCACCTGGCTGTGGCCCATTGATGGGGCCCTCGGCGACGCGTTCATCGGCACCTCGCCATCCAAAGCAAGGGATGGCATTTGGGCCCCTGCACAGAACGTGTTTCCAGCTCCGGGGCTTCCTCCAGAATGACAGCAGATTACCCCCTGGCGCTCGTGCGGGCGCGGCGGGGGCCGCGGGCGGGCGGTGGCTTCTCTCTCTGTCTCTCGCAATGATGGGCGCTGGACACGCAAACAAAGAGCACGCCAAGAAGGCCCACGGCCGGAACGGGGGCGGGGGGGGGGGGGGGGAGGGGTATTCTGTGGCTGCAGTGACGGACACCGGTAGGCGAGCCTCGCCTGGGGAGAGGGACGCCCGGGAGTTAGCACGCTCGAGAATGCCACAATGACTGAAGTGTTCTCCAGCCCGCCACCCTCGAGGCGAGGTACCGGGACCTCCTTCCCGACCTGGGAGCCAGGCGGGGGACTGGGGTGCTGGGCACTTCCGCCAACAGGCGCCGTAGCGGCTGGCGCTGAGCCCAGGCTCGGCCGGCGGGACTTCGCTCCCCAATCCAGCCCCGCGCGACCGCGAACGCTGTACGTAGGGGGGGGGGGGGGGGGGGGGAGTGCCACACCATCATATATAACCGGCCCCCGCAGGCCCCCGGGGATCAGTGAACCTCGGTCTGCTTTTCGTCAGGACAGAGGGGCCGGCGCCCATAGTCGGCGACGAGTGCACGCGCGCGTGCGCGCGAGCCCATGTGTGTCCTGCGCCACCAGGGGGTGGGGGGGGGGGGGGCCGGGGTTCGGCCACACAATCCGGCCCCTGGCTGCGACGTGGCCGAGCCCGGCCAGGCGGAAAAGCCGCCGCCCGGCGCACCCCCCACCCCCCGCCCCTCCCCCCACGAGAAGGGGCAACGGGGGAGATTGCCGGACCCGGTCGCACATCCCGCCCGGGTGGGGGAGAGGTCCGTGGCGATCTGCGATCCCCCGCCCCTGGGGAGCTCCGATTCCCATGGACCCGGGACGCCGGGGGAGCGAGGGGCCGGCCCATGGGCCGGGTGAAACACCGCCCGGGGACCGTTTCCCCGTGTGCCGCACCCGGCCAAGCTGCTCGGTCCCGCCCGAGCCCGCCCCGCCCCAGGGCCCTCCCTCGGCATCGGCCTGCCCCCTCTAGCCAGGGCATTGAGCTAATGTCCGGGCCCCCGGCCCGGGCAGCCCGCTGCTTGCTCCTCCTGCCGGCGCAGGCGTCCTCGGGGGGTGTCGGGGAAGGGGCCAAGACCCTGAGGGGAGCCTTTTGTCGGCGCGACCCCACAGGGGCGATGACAGATCGCCGGCCAACGCCCCCCCTCCCTGCCTTCTCGTCGGCCCCTCCGGGTCCCACTCCCTCCCCCTCCCCTTCCTCACCCCCCTGTGTGTTTGCCTCCGCCCCGCTGGTGTGCCCCTCTTGCCCCCTGGCCCCGCGGCCTTGGATCCCTCTTCTCCCCATCCCCCTGCTCGCCTCTGATGACCGGTCAGGGCGCCAGCGGGCCTACGCCTCCCTCGCCGAGCGTCACGGTGGATCCCATTTCGGCGAATGCCAACCGGCGCGAGCGCGAACTCGAACGGGCCTGGATCAACTCGGCTCGGGTCAACTTCCCGCCGCCCACGGCGGCCAGCGCTCCGCCCTCCCGCGAGCCATCGATCCGCAGTGGTGGCCAATCCACCGGGCCCTCTTCTCCCTCGGCCCCGGGCGCGCTGGCCAATGGCCAGGAGGCCGAGACGGCGCCATTGAAATCCGGCGACGGGTCGGCCCCCGGACGGGTAGTCTCCTCGCCCGGGGCCACCTTCGACACCGCGCGGCACCTGTGGTTCCATTTTGATCCCCGAACGTCAAGTGCGCATGTGGTGCCCCTTCTCGCGCCCGCTCTCCTCTGTCCGCCGCCAAACTTGCCGGCCATCATTCGCCTGCCCTAACCCATTCCCGCCCCTCGCCCCTCTTGCCTGCCCATGCTGATCGCAGATCTGCGCATCCATGTCTTCACCATGACCAATGTCGAGCATATCATGGACTTCGGGGCGCTGGCCGACCAGCGGGATCTGTCGGCGGCCGAGGTGTGCGCACGCATTTCCGAATTGGAGAAGCTCGCCTGTCCCGGACATGCGCCAGGATTCGGCCCATCCAAAGTGGAGCCCAACCTGCTGGATGTCTTTTCCCTGTGGATTGTGTCCGACGAGCTGGAGCTCCAATATCGGCCGGATGACAGTGTGGTGGACCTGCTGGACCGGCTGCCGCGATTGTTGGAGAAGTACACCCACCGGCCGGTCACCGGTGACCTGGTCGACCCCGGCACCGGTGGCTACCTGACCCCGGATGCCGGCGGCGTGGGGACCCTGTCCGGTGGTGCCGATGAGCATGCCAACAGCCCGGGCACCGGCGGGAGCATCATGGGCTCGGCGTCGGCCGCTCTGACGGCCTTCACACAAACGCTTCGCCGGGCCGGCCGCGAGGGGCCCGGCGACCTGGCCGACCAGCCGGCCCACCTGCCGGCCGACCAGCAGCTACACCTCCTGTCGCCAGGCAGCCACCGGCTCTTGTCGCCGCTGCTGACCGGCAAGCAGTCCCGATCGGCGACCGAGGGGGGGCCCGGTGGGTCGGACCCCTCCGACCGGCCTGCCCCGTTGATTCGCCCGCGCTGGCGCTTTGTCTTCCGTCGGCGGTCGCTCTTGTCGCCGGAATTGGAAGCCGCGGCTTTCCAGACCCACTTGGCCTGGGCGCGGCTTCTCTTTGCCGAGGCCCGGGTGAGCTTCCTCTCCGGGCGCTTGGGCATGGGGGCGGACCTGGCCTCGGCCGGGGGCCGACCCGGCACCGGCGCCGCTGGGGCTTTGGCCATGCGCGCGGTCGACATGCTGGCCCTGCGCGCGGCGGCCGTTCTCTGGCGGTTGGATGTGGTGGAGGGCGCGGCGGCGCCGGAGTCCCTGGACCCCGGGCCCGGCGGCGCTCCTGCCCCCGACGACCCGCACCCCTGGCAGCGGTGGCTCCCGGCGCCGATGTGGCATCGGGCCCTGGAACGTTGGGCAGATGGCCGGCCCGCGGTGGACCTCGAGCGAAGCCCCTCCTCGGCGCGTCTCAGCTCCTTCGGCATTGGCCGCGGGGCCGGCAGCCAGGCGACCCTGTCGCCGGACCCGGCCGACTCGTCGGACCCCGCCGGGGCCGCGGCGCAGGCCGGCAACAATCGCCTTGGCCGGCGTCGATCGACCATGGTGCGCCGGAGCGGTGCTGGCATCGGCCCCGGCGCGCATGGGGCCTGCTGGCGGGACCAGCTTCGCCAGCATGCGCGCGTGGCCCTCGATTTGATCCTCGATCCGTATGTCTTGTGGCGGCTGTTCCTGCGCCTCGCACGGCTGTCGCCGCTGTATGGGACAACCGCCTTCCCGGCTTGTCGGGACTCCCCGCCGCATGGTACGTGGCGATGGGGTTGCTCTTTCTTCTTTTTTTTTCCTTCTCCCTCCCACCGCATTCATGACCTGGCCACTTACATGTGCGAACTGTGGATGTCTACATCGGTGTGTGTGTGTGTGTGTGTGTGTGTGTGTGTGTGTGTGTGTGTGTGTGTGTGTGTGTGTGTGTGTGTGTGTGTGTGTGTGTGTGCCTGCACGGCGTGCACATGGCCAAAGGGCACTTTGAGAAGCGCACCGAGCATTTGGCCCTGTGCGTCGGGCCATACGGCGCATCGGTGCTGGATCAGGCCACCTCGGTGCGTGCCTGCCCACTTTTGCTCCTGTGTTGAGAAAGGAGGATCCCATACATTGGGCGGAGGAGGGAGGATCTGGCCTTTTGCCTCCTTTCCTGTCCTGCTCTCCCCCCCCCCCCCTCCCCCAGGCTGCTCTCATGCTATGACTGCCCCACTCACCTCCTTCGAATGTTGGCATGCCGCTTCCAGCGCCTGCTGGCCACCTTCCCGTATGGCGAGCTGCACTGGTCGTACCAATCGAACTTCGTGCAGTTCGACCGATTCACCGACAGCGTCAGCCGTATGGAAAGCCGTCGGTCGGAAGAGCGCATGGGCGCCTGTGGGTACTTCTCCAGCTTCGCCTATTGCGATCCTCCAAACCCCTCGGACCCGGCCGATCCGGCCTTCATGGGATATCAGCTGCCTGGCTCTCGGGACAGCAGCCTCAGCGCCCTGGCGTCACCGGCCAGCGATGTCAGTGCTCCCACACCGTTGCTCGGCAGCGGCGGCGGCGGCGGCGGGAGCCCATCCAACATGGGGTCCTCCATGCCGGAGGAGGATCCGCTGTCCTTCCACATCTTTGACCAGCTCTTTGGCGGGAGTGGTGCCACCACTCCGGCAGCGCTGTCGCCGGAGCTGCCGCAACAGCAGCCTCGGCGACCATCCGCCGGGACCCGGAGCAAGCTCGGACCTGGCCATGGGGAAGCCCACGAAATGACTACCCTCGGCAGTGGCGGCGGCGGCTCCTCCCCGGGCCCGGGGCTCCCGCCGCCGGTGTCCTCCGCGCCACGCGAACGGCAATCCTCCCTGTCGCGGCTGGTCGGCGGTGGCAATGGTGGCGCCCCGGCGGTCGATGCCCCTCGGCGCGGGTCCTTCCTCGAGCAATCCCTCAGCAGCCTTTCCTCGGCCCTACGGCCGGGGGGGTCAACCACGAGCGAGGAGGCCGCCCTGGCGATGTGCCCCTTCCGGCGGATTGCCTGCGAGGAAGTCGGCACCTGCGCGGCCTCCGTGGCCATGGAGGGCTGGGTGGAGGCACTGCACTGCCGGGCGTTGGAGCACTGCTTCCCGATCGGGCCCGATAGCATGGCGGTCATCACTCCTCAGAGCCGCGTAGCCGCGCGGCTGATCTCCTACGCCATTGGGCGCCTGAATCACATCGACCGGAAGGCGGCTCGCAACAAGACCGGTGCCATGTAGAAAACTGGGCAATCAGCGAGTGTGCATGCGTGCATGTGTGCGTTTGTCCTTGCCTTTGTCGGTGTGGAACAGCGCATGCGGCCCTGTCACCCTGCTGGGGCAACGCCCTGCACAACCTTCCTGTGTATGCGCTTCGAGGAATATACAACCCCCGGGTGCTGGCACGCCGATTCGGCGTGCCAGCCGTCCTTCCCTGGGTCCTTCATTTCGGTAGGGGGCGGGAATAGTGTTGTCTGCGTGCGTCACTGGACATACATGGGTGGGGCGCTTCATGACCCGGGGAGGGGGGGAGGGAGCACAAGGGGGCATTCGTATGGTTTGGTGGGGAGAGGGCGGGTGCGGCCAAGCGGCACCGGGAGGACAGCCAAGTCGAGCCCGCCATGCGGCGCTTCGTGGCCGGGAGGGCAGACTGGGGCAACGTTGGTTGGTCGGACACGCGTGCCAGTGCGCCACGCGATCCCCCGTTGCCGCTGGGAGAAAGCAATCGGCCGACCGACCGACCGACCGACTGGCCGATCCGAGCCCGCCAGTTAGCCGGTCGGCCTGGCCCTGTGCCAGGGGCGGGGTGGGATCAATTGCCCCGAAGTAGGAGGACCGGCAGGTAGGTTCGGCCGAGGCACACATGCTGCCTACATCCAGGGCGTGCGCCCTGTGACGCATGTACAACCCGGCAAAAGGGGGATCAGGGCAGCCACCGTGCAAGAGCACCCCTATGTCGGGCTCTCCCACACAGGCCCCAGAGATGAGAGGAGGGGGATCCGGCGGCCATGGCCAATGATTGCACATGTGCACACACAGGCACACACACACACAGACACACGCAGACAGACAGACAGACAGAGGCACATGCATGTGTGTGAAGAGACAGGGGCTGGAGCACAGCGCGGGAACCGGGTGCGGAGCGCGAGGTCGGGATCCCTCGCGGCGCGCGATCCAGGCGGGGGCGGCCTTTCGATCGGCATCGATCGGACAAGTGTCCCCCGTGCCCTCTCCTCCTCTCTGCCACCCTCGGGCGGAGGGCCGTCGGGATAGAGAGAAGTGCCAATTAAGGCCGACCCGAGGGCCGATCGGCGCACGGGCGGAAGCCCTTTTCCCTGCTAGAGCGGATCGCAGAGAGAGAGAGAGAGAGAGAGAGAGAGAGAGAGACCTTCGACTGTTGCAGGACTTCCCCCCCCCCCTCCCCGAGGCGGGTGGGGGGACACGCCCCCAGCAGAAGCCCGGCCGCCGGGGAAGGGAGGGGAACTTCCACCAAGAGGGAAGAGAACCGATACCTCATCTCCTGGGGGGGGGGGGGCGGAAAAACGTGTGTCGCCGCCAGCCAACCTCCGAGAAGGCGGGCGACCTAGACCGACGGTCGATCATCGATCCGGCATGTACTGGGGGGGGCGGGCAATCCCTCCATCCGGGGGAAGGCCTCCCCAAAAAAAATGGATGGAACCCGGAAGCAGGGGGGCAAAGACAAGGAGAAGGGGAGCCCGGCCGCCCACACCCACGCCCATGCCCGCAGAGTTCGCCTCCTTCTGGGTGGGGCTCCGGAGGCAAATATTTAGCCGCTGACAGCGGCAGAAGCGGAGACCAGGAGACTACCGGACCGGCCCCATTACAAGCCGATTGCCAACTCGATTGCCGGAGGGGGGGGGGGGCAGGGGAGGCAGGCGGCGTCAGCCTCGGGCGACTCCGGCCGGCGTCGGTGCCGGGCGCGGCCGGCGCGGGGATATTGTTGTTGTTTGCGCAGATCTTGTTGTTGTTATTGTTGTTTGCCGCGCGCGTGCTCTCGCCGCCTGCCCGGTTCCGGGGCCCGGCCCGGCCCCGGGGGCAAATCAGCTGTGCCGGGCGGACCGGGACTCCCCTCATCCCAGGCCGAGGTCCGCGCCGGGGGCCGATGGCCTGCCGGGGGGGG